TTTTTTAATAAAAAAATATCGGTTTAGATTAGAACGGCGTTGATTCTCCAATAGCACCAAAGGCAATCCTACTTTCGATGGCGTTTCGCATTAAATAATTATTACGTAAGTAAAGAATTTGTTTCTCCACTTCAGCCTGTTTCTTTTATTTGCATAAAATCGAAATAAAACTTTCCTCATGTTTCCAAACAAGTTTTACAAAAAGCAATATTACTCTACTTTGAGGTACACAATTTAGTTCGATGGCATCGGCTTTCATTATTCGTCGCTCTCAAAATTTACATTTCCCCATTTTTTATATTTAAAACTTAATGAATGGGCGAAGAAATTCAAACATTGGTAAACTATGGTCGTCTTAATGTTGTTTATCAAAACATCTTTCTTCGAAATACTTTCATGTCCAGTACACACGCATCAAGATGTTATCGTAGGATAGTTCTCTTCGATTTGATGACTTATTATCTTTGTTTAAGAGCTTGGTTCATAACGATCCAGGCAACGCTCTTTTACTATGTCGCAATTTAAAGTCAACCCTACTGTGGTTGAATAAGAACAGAACGGATATTTCGTAATGTAAGTTTAAACAGTAATTTAAGATGTATGATTTTCATAACATTGCTTGAAACTAGATATTTCACTAGAAATAATAGCTTAAAATGGGTTTCTCGTATAAAAGATTTATACAGAAATATTAATTGATGTCATAGTTTTACTTTCTCTTCTTAAGAAGAGAAAATTATGTAATGCTGCGCGAAAATAAAAAGGTGCATTTTCGACAGAAAAACTCTTATCACAGCGTCCTGGCAACGAAAAAATGGATAAATCCTATTACAAAATTTTAAAAAAGATCCTCTAACACGTGGTGTAGTCATAATCCCTATTTTGTGGGTTCTTGGTTCCGGCAAATCGATTGACGGCAAAACGTCTGTCTGACTGAACAACGCTAGCGGCTAAACCTTTCAGCCAATTTTCTCCAAAATTGATATTCCCTTTATCGATCCGGTTGATGTCGCGGTCCCTCGCATTTGAAATCAATATTTTAATTTTGGGGGCATGTACATGAAATTTTCATTTTCAAAATTTTCAAAGAAATGGCGCCATGGATTTTGTTTAAATTTTGTTGTTGGATAGTCTAAAGGACGTTTTAAGAGAATGATAAAAGTCTCGAGTTTGTTAAAAACTGATTTTTCGAAAATTACAAAAATTCAAAATTATTTTGACGTTTTATACCTTAAATATTAAAAATAAAGATTTCCCCCCTTAATAAATTCTGTTCCTTATAGATAGATTTTGAAATAAGGTTACGTACAACTTTCGAATATTTGAGAATTTTTGCTTGATTTTGCGTGAAATATATGCAATTTTTAAATTTTGTTTAAACAATTTTCTCAAAAGCTACTCTATGATGAAATTTTGTTGGTGGATGGTCTGAAGAACGTTTAGAAAAATGATGCAGATGTCTTGTTGGTTAAAAACCCCGATTTTCCCCCCAAAAAAAAACAACAAAAAAAACCGGCGTTTTTAGGCAAAATTTATCTACAGATGATTGTGTTCGGTAGTGTTTAGATAGTGTTTCAAACTGATTGGATTCGATAGTGTCAATAGGTATATTCAGTACGTTCAATAAATATGGCAAGTGCCGGTGCGAACGGAATGATTCGTAGATTCTTGGACGATAGTGGTCGGTGGCGTTTCGCACTGATTCGATTCGGTAGTACGTAGAGATTGTAGCGCGGCTCCCTCTGCGCGGTTTTTGTTTTTTGGTAAACCTTGAGGTTGTAGCACGGCTCCCTCTGGGCTTGGTGTGCGTCGTAGGACAGACTGAGTGTGGCGTGGGACAGACTGAGTATGGAAGTTGAGCGCTGGTCTCTCTGCGCTTGGTCTGTGACTTGGGACGGACTGAGTGCGGAAGTTGAGCATTGCTCCGTCTGCGCTTGGTGTGTGGCGTGGGACAGACTGAGTGTGGAGGTTGAGCACGGCTCCCTCTACTCTCAGATTTTTCGAATATATGCTGCGGGAAAAACAATTCTCTCACCGTTCTGAAGCGGCAAATGCCACCCCTCCCTTAACAACAAAGTACGGAAGAGCACATCCACCTAAACCAAGACGAAGAGTTTTTACAATTCCTTTAAAAGCTGACAGGGACTGAAGGACTCAGTAGAGTAGTCCCTCACCGACATATGCAACTTCACCAATCATTAAAAAAAAGCTGGCCAACGGCAACGAGCAGCAGCGGTCTTAAATAAGATTTACTCCCATAACTCTTCAACTATTGACCCAAAATAAAACAATTCATAACCTTATAGTACCCCACTGCTAGAAAACTCAGAGTCCTCTGTAGACTCACTTATCCCCGGCGCAATGGCCTCCTCACAACAATCAATTGAATCCATGCAGTCATCAACTAAATAACAATACAAATAACCAAATTATTCTTACTTTAGGTATCAATAAAGCTCCCCACCCGTTAAACCAAAGTGTTAATATACTGAATAATGATAACAACCTAAATTTAAGAGGCGAGTCAAATAAACAAAGAAACAATCGATGAAGATGGCTTCATCACACCAAGCAAATTCTTCAAAAAACAAATTGCCCTGGAACTATCCCCATCTCATACTGCAAACAAAATGTTTTTAAAAACCCAAAATGTTCGTAATTTTTCACGGAATGGAGGAACCTTTAGCACTGTTAACCAGAATGTGATATAATTCAACGTAGTATTCATTTGTCAATGCATTAATTATAATAGATATAGGGTTATTAAAACTATAAATAAATATTGCACTTTTTAAAGATATTTTTAATAAAATCCTTTCTTCAAATTTTTTATGGTTGAATTTCAATATTCAAGTCACGCGATTAAAATATTGTTTTCTCCAATGATTGTAATGTTAACATTTTTTCTAAAACGTATTTTCAATATCTTTTGCTTGGTAAGTTTTAATGAATATTTGATGCCATTTCTTGTAATACGATTGGGTCATTACTTGCTAGTCCTGGTGACAGGAGAAAACAGTTCATTTGGTGACCTACGTAATACTTGGGCTTAGCTCTTACACAAATCAAGTCTTAAAGAAGATCGCTTAGCTTTTACAGAAATATAGTCTTGAATATTCACGAAATTTCAGTGGCTCATTATGATACTGTGTTTGTCCAACACGTTCAGGCAATGCAAGTATTATATGCGCACATTTTCTTGAGCTCCGCAAAATCTATCCCCACTCCTTTACCAACATTAGTTGAATTAAGAATAAACAATAGCAACGAGCGTTGTAGACAAAATTCTGATAACCAGAGAAGTTCTCTCCCGTGCATCGAAAATCTAACTACAATTTTGCTATAAAATTCCTTTTGTGAAAAAAAAAACCAACTCCCCACTCCTCTCACAACTAGCGAAGCGAGTGCTCAAGAACGTGTGCGGATAATACCAAGGTCATTTCATAAATAATGTAGTGACAACATTGTTGGCTGACGCTACTGATTGTTGTGGGTACTGTGAGTGTTGAGGATCAAAGATCGCATAGTAATATCTTTTTATTTATTTACGTTAAAAACTGTGTGTGAAGTTCTATAGGGAGAAGTAAATTTGAAGTTAAATTTATGTTCAGAAGCAAAAAAAAAAAAAAAAAAAAAAGGGGGGGGGGGGCACCTCAGCATTTCCTCAAGGATCAAGGAAACTGGGCGAAAACCTGATCGAGATAGGAGCCATTGATTGAAACTTCGGGGTAAAAACCCGACTGAAATCTAGAAAGCTTTAAGTAAAGTGTGCGGTAAGCTTACAGTGACCTGTAGTACAGTTTCCCATTGAGCTAGTCGATTTCGTGAAGGTTGTGTGAGAAGAAACGACGATGCAAGACCGGGAACATCCACAGATGTCCACAAAACATCCACAGCTGAACGAAATGTGAAACTTGTGGCAGATGTTTTTGAAAAGGATCGTTGTGCGACATTGGAAAAAAAATCTGAAGCCACAGGATTTTCAATAACGTCGATATTTCGAATAATCAAATGATTGATACTGAAAATGCACAAAAACCAACATATGTTGCTTGACTACTCTGGCTTACTCATTCTCCACGACAACGCTCGCCATCACACGGCCAAAGTCGGAACAGAAAAGTTCCATGAATGTAGTTGGGAAGTGTTCCAACATGCACCCTGCAGTCTAGACATGAGTCCACCGGACTTCGACTTATTCCCGAAATTGAAGGGAATAAAAAAAAAAAAAAAAAAAACCTGCGATGACGTCGTTTTTATCTCTTGATGAGCTTTCCGCAGCCGGTACCCGAACCATTCCTCTGATGAACAAAGAAGGGGTATTGGACGGAATTCTAAAGCTTCCCAGTCGTTCGGACTCGGAAAATAAAAATACTAGTGACTGCATTGAAGGATTGTAAAGAGATTTTCTCAAAACATAAACATGAATGAAAATAAGAAATAGGTACTGTGCATTATTTATGAAATGACCCTCGTAAATTACAACTTATTAATTGAGAAATATGGCCTTTAGTGGGTTTATATTATTGCCAGAATGTGGAAACGCACACTATTTCACGTCAAATAACCAAGAATGACAGGAAACTGTATAGACATGCTGTGATTTGCGAATTTCGAAGATGGGCGGAACTTGTAACATACTATTGGCTTGAAAATAATCTACTTTTGCCTTCTTTGTTCGTAGGGTACTATAATTTTGCATTCCTGATTTTTTGGGAACAGTAGGGTATCTAAAAAAAGCTTACACTGTCTCTCCTGGCCCCTGTTGCACCAGTCCACTATCAGACACAACTTGGTTATCGTGAACATACAACAATATTTTAGAGAAAAACGAACATCACTCCAACTAAAATGATCACGACGCTTGAAAAGAAAATCGGCATTTATGTCGCGTTTTATCCATAAAAGATCATGGCTTATAGCAGCCTGCCTATATACTCTCTGGCAGCCTGTTGCTTGCCACGTGACACGTCCAGAACACATTATTTTGTTCGGAGGGCAGCACCATCGCCTCTGGGTGGCAATGTTCCAATGTGTTTGATACTCTCTGACAGTTCTCTGATCCTTCCAGATCTCTACGGTGGTGAGCGCCACGTGCCCACGAGTGTTATGCATCTATAAGCGAAGTTGTGTTTACTTGTTATTAGCAAACAAGTTATTTCTTTCTGTATTTCGGATTCTGAAGGTTATTGTGAAGAATGACCAAGATTAGGAAGCAGAAACGCAAGAAGAGGTTTCGTTACCCTTCCTCTAAAAATCTTAAGCGGAAGAAGGTTATGAGAGATGCTAACAAACACACCAAATTCTTTCCATGGTAAGTATCAGTGGTACAGCATGAAGTAAATTATGTCACTTAGCAAGTAATCAACATGTTACTTGTATTATAGTTGCTTGCAAATTAGAATCCTTCAGTAACCCTGAGTGTGTGTGTTCAAACTTTTAACAAAATTTGGGTCTTCAATAGTATAGTTTACACATCCTGAAATATTATGAAACGAACAGATATACTGCAACAATGTTTGACTGCATATGCATGCCTTTTATGACCATTTTATTAAATTCTTTCAGTAAGGAAATGAAAAACGATTGGGAATCAAATAAATCTGTAATAACAAATATGGAAGAAATGGGTCTTGTGTATGATGTAAATAAAGCTCTTGGAATACCTTCCAATAAACAAGCAGCACTGGAATCTACAACATCTGGAAAAAAGAAGAAGAAGAAATTGCTTCCTAGAAAAGCTCATGTGGTTCAGAAATTAGAAGAGAATGCAAATGCCCCACGTGTTGGTAAATTTCGACTGCCTGAAGGGCAAGTGAGATGGTTGTCATATTTAATTACAAAATATGGTGAAGATTACAAGGTTTGTATTCATGAATGTGAGGTTGCGGACTGATTCATTAGTGATCAAATGTTATTGTTGTATTTTATTATTTCAGGCCATGTCCCGTGATCCAAAGAATCATTATGCTGAAACATGGAAACAAATAAGAGCAAAAATTAACACTTTTAAGAAAATACCAGAACAGTATGATGTATTTTTGAAGTCTCAAGAAAATCATGCCATGGATACTAGCACTGAAAACTGAAAAACTTGTAAACAGTGGTTTAATATTTGATATTTATGATATGGACATTTGAATTTTTGTGCAGTGTTACAGTCTTGAATGTGGGTGCTAAGTTGTCTTCATTTGAATTGATTGGATTTGTTACAAAAAAAAAGATTAATTAAAGGACTTGCTGTAATTACAGAACTACCTCTATCTTGTGTGGTAAACCCTCTTCTTCATTGTTTTTCATTTTAAACCTTCGGTGGTCACAGTCAAAACTGGAACGCGAGTGGTTACAAGGTTTACAATTGCAATCCATTTTTAAAAAATTATTAAGAACAACATATTACGAACAAGTAGTTCTTTAGTTCAAATATAGATGAGTAATGGGATCTATAACACTGACCAGTTACTAAATGCTATTAAATTTATTTGAACATTGATGTAATGCAAATTCTACAAAATGTTACACAAAATTGCATGTTTAATGCATGTAAACAAATATATGTAAGTAGATGTTTGTGTTTGAAGTCTTGTGTTCTATGTTTTCTGCTGTGATAAATGTGATTTTGTGTTATACTTTGCATTATGATTATTAAATAAAGCAGAGATTGTCAAAAGTGTTGAAAAATCTGGAGCCTCAATTACGAATGTTTCAGTATCAACATCATATGAGCATCTCACACAGATTTTCTTAATGTGTTCTTAGCACACCCACTGGACACAATTTTATACAATACTGTTGAGTACTCTTCTTTTGTGGATATTCATAAACATCCCTCAGCCTTTGGTGAATCCGTTTCTTCACATATTCCCAGTAGGTTTCTCAATTGTTCTTATTGCTTTCGGCACAGTATTTCCCTCCTTTACATTCCTGGCTTCATAAAGGACAAAATGATATTCTTTAGAAATCCCCTTCTACTCAACCTTTCCCTACTTGTTCTTTTCATAAACAGTCCGGGCATTGCTTACAGTGATATTCATGATGTCTGGTCAGGTCAGAAACAGCGGCCGCATGGACTGCTATTTTAATCTAAGCTTTTTTCCAGGACTTATGCTAGTGCAGCAGTTATCCCTTGAGTCATATTTCACCATAATTCAATAGCTGGAGCTTTCTACGAAAGGAACTGAAAAGCCTGTGCCAAAATTTTATCAACTCTCGCTGTAAATAATGAATGAATAAAACTGGATTACAATAGTAAGGGTTAATTATATCTTCTATTCACCATTTTAATGATATCTCCACTCAAAAATTTGTTACTGTATTTGGAAATTACAATTCGTTAAAAGGTTCATGCATTATAATATAATCGTTCATGATTTGACAAAATGGATAATAAGTTAGAATCTTGAGACACAATTTGCGTTATCTCTTCAGAGTAATGGAAGAATGAAGTTATGCAGTAATGACACATGTATATGTTGTTATTTTCAACTGTCCTATTGGTGACAATAACTTGTCCAAAGAAGTGGTATATACGTAACATTTTTTCCAATTAAGTATAGTTCTTGTGATATATTGATTATGTTATATTAAGATAATTAAAAAGAAATATACGGTAATATTTGGGAAATATTGTTTTCCAGAAACATGTAATAATATTTATTCTGTTTGCTTTGCAAAGTAGGTACATGAAAAACTAATTTCTTCTCTATCAAATGAGAATATGAAAACTAAACCTTTTATTGTGAAAGTATGAAGATTCAATGTGTATGCCATAATGAAATAGTTATTACATTTTGTGAAGAGATAACTTAAATATTAAATTATGTATTAATATTAACATAATCAGATTACATGAATTTCGTTATTCAGAATTCAAATATTTCCTCCTTTTGTACGAGCCTTTATCTACAATATTATCTCTAACATAGGACTGGATGTTGTTCTTAGTTGAGATAGTAATGTTTTATGATTTGTTTCAAGAAAGATTTTCTTCGATCAGAGATAAAGTGAATTTAGAAAATTCAGGTAATGTTTCCATGTAAAGAAAATAATGAGTTTGAAATACTCACTATTGTATTGATGTAGATGGATAACAAGGTGTACTTTCAATTTTTCATTTGCTCTTTTCTTTTCTTATTGTAACTCTATTAATCTCAACCATATGTACATGCAAGGCTTGTAAGGAAATTCTGTATAGGTTAATTCTTTTCTAGTAATCAATTTTAAGATTGGTTTGCAGTAGTTCTCCTTTTCTGTTTCTCTTATTTTTCAGAGAGCCTCTTCAGTTTCTGAAATGTTACCCAGGTCCTCACGTGTAGATCAAATGAATTCTTGGTTTAGCCTGTGGGCAGTGCCCTTGTCTGGTGGGCTTGAGAGACACATGGGACTAATACACATCATATAGGTCTCTCTGGTGAATGATTGGCATTAGAAAAGACTAGTTCTAAATCTCTATAAAATCTTGTCCTGGTCACCCATGAGATCATAATCCTACCATAGCACCATATTTTCTTTTTGTTAAATGCCACTGTCCTGGTTAATTCTGCCCACTGAATTCACAATACTTTGGATTTGGGATGCAATTCTGATTCCTATTTGGGTAAATCCCTCTATAATTTTTTAAATGCATTAGTTTAAAACATTTGGTTTTACTTGGTACATTTTCTTCCTTTTTTTTCTCTTTCTTCTTCATATTGTAACTGACACCAAGTTTGGTTTCTGGAACAGACATCATAGCTTTTAATTACCGTAAGCTTTTAGCCAAGACTGCTACATCAACCATGAAGCGAAGTCTCTTGTGTATTCATTCTTCTTCTTCTCCCACTTCTCTCTTACTTCCTGAATGGTGTGCTTGACGTAGGCATTAAATAATAGGGTAAAAATAATGATCCACCTCCTCTTCTGATCTTTGTTTCTATTTCTTCTACTGACCTATCACTTCATCCTTACCCAGATGTCAGATTAACCTTCTATCCATGTATTTCAGTTATATCATCCTTGGATTTTGGAACAATTGGATCCCAGTTCTGACAACAGCTTTCTCAAGGCCAGTAAAAGCTGACAGTCAACTTTCATTATAGTGAACCTCTAGGGACTCACATTTTTGATTCACTAGGAGTATTTACTTAATGTCTAAAACATTTAAATACAGAATATGGGGAGAAGTATAATCAGTGTACAGTTTCTTGAGCTCTATGTTTACTGACCTAAATCATAAATATATTAATTTAAATTTTAAATATAGATAGCAAAGAGTGTTTTTGACAAGAATTGTAATTAAATTTTCACTCCTGTGTAATAAAAACTATTTTCAAAGGAAAATCTGGTACAAATTTTGGCTAATATCCCTTATCATGCCCTTTGTTATGGAGTTGACTTACTGCCATGGGAAAATGGAGAATGTTTATTTGAATAGCTATATTCCCCACAGTGCTCAAGAAAACCTGCACAGTGAATATACATTTATGTCCACAAGCAAAACAAGGTGATCAGCCAGTATTTGTTCTTACAATTAGGAAAACTGGTCAAAAAACCTGATCTAGATAGGGTCATTAACCCAGAAGCTTAGGTTGATACAGGTGTATTTAGTCTTTTAGAGTTATACAGTAGAAATGGTAACTAATGAATTAAGTATTGTTAAAATCAATGTTATTTTTGTTTCTGAAGCTCAGTGTATTCCTAATTGTATGGAAACTGTTATGCAGCATAAAATATTTTTCTTGACACTTACACTTGGATATCGATTTTAATTGTTTAATGTCACTTAGCAAAGTGTTGTAAGCAGTGGTTGATTTGTAAAATTTTAGGTCCTGGAATATGGCCCAAATTAATTATTAATTTAATAGAAATAGTATATTTATTTATATATAAATTTATAATACAAGTTTATTATTATTCCCAAGGTTCCGGAACACTGTTCCGTCATGTTCTTGCCAGAAATCAAGCCCTGGTTGTAAGTTTGATTTTTGAGAAAACTACCAAAAGAAATTAGCCAATTAACTTACTTTTGTTGCCTTTTTCAAAGAGCAGCTTAATCATGGCTGTTTTGAAAATATCTACAAATATTCTTATGCTTCAGGATGCTTTGAAATTTTAATTAATGGGTATATAAAGGCAAGCGCAAAAGCCTTTAACTAACAATTTGGAAATTGATTTAAACTGGCTGAGTTTTTATTCTTTATTTTACTGGTTATTTTGAGTTTTATAGGAAAACATGTTGGAAACCAACATCAAACTTTTTTGTGAAAACATATATTGAATTAGCGACTTAAGATCCATAGTGAGATTAGCTGCAGTTCTCAGAAAAGATTGGTTGAAGAAACTAGTCACTATTATGGGAATGTTCACTTCTCTTATCATATTTTAAAACAATATTCTCTGCAAGGTATGGTTACATGTCCGTTGATATGGTATTTTTTATTATGTTCCACATTGCTTTTATTTGATATGGTTGCATTTTTTACTATATTCCATTTTGGTTTTGTTTTGTTATTTGAGTTCAAAATAACCTGATTGTGTTTCATCAATTGCCCTTTATGAATTTTCTTAACAATGATTTGTATTATTGGAAAAGGGATGCAGGGCCATCATGCTCTGTTTTGCCGCCCTGGTGCAAGTACATTTTGCCGCTTTCCAAAGGAATACTATAATTACATACTTTTAATAGTAGAAAAGTTTAAATGTTTTAAATAGTATTTATTGAGATATTGTATATTTGTTTATTAAATAATAATAAATAATATCTAAATACAATATAAAGTGTATAATAATATACAATTAGTATAAGTGTGCAAAAATACAATAGTATAAAATTTTACAAAGGTACTTTTCAAACTTTCAATCTTACAATTTTTTTATACATTCTAAATCAGTATTGTTGCAGATTTCACTTTCAATTAATGTCATTGCTAGATCTGCTAATCTTTTCTGTGACGTGGTTGATCGTTGAAATTAAAAAAAAAAATGTTTTTTGAAAATTATTTTACTCCAGTGGCTATTGTAACTGGCAAAGTAAATACAATTTGTACATATAGTATCACAGTAATATTAGGGGATGATCTGGTTAGTTTATTTTGATATATAAATTCTAATGCTTCAATTGATGAGAAATTGATTTAAGAAATTTCGTGAATATATTTAGTTAATCTGCAAGTTCTATTGCTTTTATATCTATTGGACTATCTGTATCAGTTTTGTCGGTCGGTTTTATTTCTAGATCAATACAATTTTTTAATGTGTCTGATTTACTAATTTCTAATAGTTGGGTGAAGTCATATAAAACATCAAATGCATCATTTTGCTCTTTAAGCAATTGAAACCTTTCCTCTGCAGATAAGTCTGTAGTGTCAATAATAGTATGAAAAAATCTATGTGGAAATTGTCTTTTGGGTCATTTGCACTCTCATCATCATGTTCATAAGCAAACAGTTTTCTTTTTTGCGCCTTTGTAGGTGTGGGGGAGGGAGGAAATTCGCATCTACATCGCACAAATTACCAAGCTCAGGTGCAGTGCTTTATTTTAAGATTTTTTAAAAGGATAATTTATCAAAATATCAGGGCATGGGGCCTCCATAGATGGGGGAGAGAGTATATATGGGGGCCTTATGCAATTGCTTATAGAGAAATCCAGCACTTCATTTACATATACATTGATTTTTAATTTGTTTCATTTTCGCACAAGC